TCTAATATTATTTACTACGGTATATATTCTATACTATATAGTAAATCTATTCTAATCTATAGAATCTATAGTGATATTATTTAATTATATTAAATAATTATTTTAAACAATTGAAATTTATATAAATATATAAATGCATAGTAAAGTAGAATTATTTAAAGACTTTATAAAAATAATAATTGTGTAAATAAAGTTAAAATAGATAACTAAAATTTGCCTTTTTAGTATTGATTTTGCTTCAAATCTAGAAATGAGTTAATATTATGAAACAATTCATTTGGATAATAGTAGTACCGTAATTGTCAGTTCAGTTTATATAAGACTCTTATAATAAGAGTAATACGGTAGACAATAAATTTTATTCTAAATTATCCTTGGATAAATAGTATATCTATATAATAATCTAATTTAGAAATAATATTTAATCATATACAGTATTGTAGATTAAGCACAATTGGTCATCTCACACAAGTACATAGTTTTAACAGTTAAACTCTAATGCAATTCTGGTTGGTAACAAAATAATATCTAACTTAACTTACAAGGATAAGTTTTATATTACAAACATTTGTTGACTTTCTGTTCAATTACTTGAATCTTTTATTTGAAATGGTTTTCTCAATTCAATGAAAGAGATGTTGTTTATCAAAACATTATTCAATTAAAAAAGTTAATACACTGTAGGAATTTGACAACACAACTGTACTAGATATTCTTAGAATTTGTATTTAAATTCAAAGATCGTGTTAACTATCAATTTAGTGCATCAAATAATTCATTCTCAAATACTTTTGTTTAAAGTGGTCTATAAGTCATAACAAAAAATAACATTAATTAATAACTTTAATGTTTTCAACATTTTATTGCTATAATTGTTAGAAAATGATTAATGAATAAACTGCAAATACAATCATTAAATATATCTTATAAATGATTATTCTAACTGTTAATATTAGTTTTAAATATTAGAAATTCTCCAAGTTCTTTATAATAGATGAATTAAATGTACAATACTGTATATTTCATTGTTCTTAAATGTTAATAATGACTTAACATTTAATTTATTCTTAAGTTTTTAATCAATGAATGAAAAGAAAAAATATTTCAATCATATCTAAACTCTTTTATTGTGCAAACAATATAATAACAGATTCAAAAGTTACCAAAAAACTCAATTAAATGTTGTCGAAATTGAATTCTATATTCGTATGCACCGATTGTATGACTGAACAGTTACCCAAATAAGCCTCGAGTTATTGTGGAAATTGTGAACATTTAATTCGGTTTAGTCCTCTTTTCTCCTTAATCTTTGCTCTATTTGTTGCCATCCCTTGAAAACAATTCTATTATGTATCGACACATTAAATAGATTTACAAAATTACTACTCTATTGTCTAACGAATAAACGACAAACCAAACAAATTGAATGTTACCGTAAAGACAAATGGAAATAAACTTACCATTTAAGATGGCTTTAAGTTTAATGGGTTGCTTCACTGAAATGTATTCAAAATAAATGGAAATTTAATTATTATAAATAAATTTTAATAAATAATGGCATGAATACAATTTTAAAAATGAAAGTATATTTTAATAAATATCATTGGTTACATTTGATGCAATTTCTATATAAGTCTCATTCGACACAAAAAGATACAATTTTCAAATCATATCAAATCTAAACTCTTACACAAATTCCTGACATTTTATTTATAAAAAATTGTTAATCATTGAATAAATAGATGGTTAAAAGAAAAGCTCATTCTATTCTGTGATTTGAGTATAAAAGTTATGTTAAATTGAATGGAAAAATACAAATTGAGATGAAATGAGNACATTTTATTTATAAAAAATTGTTAATCATTGAATAAATAGATGGTTAAAAGAAAAGCTCATTCTATTCTGTGATTTGAGTATAAAAGTTATGTTAAATTGAATGGAAAAATACAAATTGAGATGAAATGAGAAATATTAGTCGATTACAGAATAAAATATATGCAAACGTTGAATGGATTTACAAAGAAGTGGTGTATATAAGAGAGAAGTGTTCACTTAATTGGCAGACAGAGTCTCATCAGTAGTCTTATCAGTGCTATGATTGCCATTATTGTGTCCATTCGTACAAACCTTCTTCGAATTGCTTTCGGAACCAGAGTTTTGTCGCTTTTGGAGAAAATATAGATTATAATCAGTTTTAAATGTTCAAAATATTAGATACAAAATATAAGCTCAGTTTTTGTTATACTTTAAAAGAACTGATTAAAAATTAAAGAAATCAAGATGATTTCTATCATTTAACCCTGGATGTAGGTTTCATGAAACAACATTTTAAGTACCGTATTTGTAGTATCATTATTTTAATTGCCACATATTTTCTACCAGTATAATGTTGTTTAATTAGTCTATTTTACTAATCCACAGGTATAGTACGGTATACGGTAAGTAATTATGTTTACGAGGTATATTTATTTGGAAAACTGTATTTATTTATAGTGTACTACCGTACCGGTTAAAAATTTTTAATTTCACACTTTAATTTAATTGAATTTAATTCTTTATAATATGTTAACTCAAATCATGAATGCTCATCACTTGTAGTAAACTAAAGTTATGTAATGTATGTGTAATACGTGCAGCAAATGGATAGTCAATTATACCTTTCGTTTGATGAGATGCGATATATCAGTGATTGGTTTGTCTTTGATCTCTTGGTTCTTAACAGCGATGGCCTCCTCAGCGATGCGTTCGCTCTCTTGGCGTTCGAGTCCTTCCTTAGTATTAATCATTTGGTCGTTTGAGTCCTCGATTTTGACTCTCATTTCTGGTAACAAATTCTCCAATTGAGTCAACTCTCGCTTTATTCTCTCAGTGGTCTCCAAGTCATCGGCGCTAAGCGTCACTAATCTTAACTTTTGGTTCGCAATTCGCGTCTCAATCACTTGAATAGCACTTTGGAAACAATTGTTAGCGTTTTGGATGTCATTACTAAAAGAGTATGCGATTCCCAACTGATAGTAACTGTAATTAATATGATTTCATTACTAATACATTGATATCAAGTGAATGAAACAAAGCATACGTTTCTGCAATGAGTCGGTCGTCTTCTGCGAGAACTTCTTTACGTAAAGTCAGACATTCGGAGAGGATTTCGATGGCATTCTGATTGTTCTCCCACTCGATACTGATTTCTCCCAACTTTTGCAATGTTTCCGATAATTTCAGTTTATTGTCATTCTTATCGATATATCTCAAGAACACAGCCTTTGCCAAAGACAGCACTTCCCACGAGACCTCTATATTGGAGGCGTCGTCTTCGGTGTCCTCTCCCTTGTCTGCAGCACTGGTCTCGCCCTTAGAAGTAGAGGCAACACATTCGGGCGCTTCCGTGTCGGCGCTCGCACTCGACGCAATCACAACCGACGCTTCATTTTCTAACTTTTCTCTCAGTTTTCTCTTCTCTTCGTCCGAATCTTCGATATCCTCTTCGGTATCCGTTTTCTTGTCTTCGGCTATATATGAGTTCATTAGTAAAACCATTCAAACTTCAAAATATAAACAAAATTAAGTACTTTTGGTTTGAGAATCTTGTGATTCATCCTCTGCTTCTCCCTCTCCCTCTCCCTCTCCGTCTCCTTCCTCGTCATCGGCTTCTTCTTCGTCTTCAGTCTCGGACACATCGGCCACTAAACACGTGACAAATAAGCCATCCATTAGTTGAGATAATAAATGAATACTAAATTGGTTTACATTTGGTGTGAACGACACCATCGAAGAGTCCGTCTTCAAGTCGGGCCAACTCTAAGAGAGCGGTTCCGTAATAAAGATAGGCTTCACCGCACTCTTCGGCGCCGATTCCAAACCTATGGTCGAAGAGCTGACACGACTCCTGAAGACTCAATACCGCCGATGAATAGTCTTCTACGAGAAGATGTCTTTTCCCTTGATTTAAGTGATTCAGTGCTTCGACGGCTAAATCGGTTTCCTCTGTTATGACTCTGAGGTTAACGAATGAAAACATTAATCAATAAACAGATACAGAGATGACTTTGAGATAATACTTGTCGTTGGATGTGCTGGAAGTGCCGGCTCCTGATGGACCGGTCGAGTCGACCACCGCTTCGTTGGTGTTAATGCTCTCCATCTTTGGGGTGACAACAAGTGATCAGTCAGTGGTGAATGTGTTGAAGACAAGTGATTCAAATGAGTGGTAATACAGTAATGAATGAAATGATAGTTTGTAACCGCTTCGTTGGTGTTAATGCTCTCCATCTTTGGGGTGACAACAAGTGATCAGTCAGTGGTGAATGTGTTGAAGACAAGTGATTCAAATGAGTGGTAATACAGTAATGAATGAAATGATAGTTTGTTTCAATGTTTGAGTGTTTGAGCGCTCAGTCGGACAATACATGCAATCATTGGGAGAGAGAGACAGAGAGTGATGGGAGAGGCTATGGGAGAGTGCAGTGAATGCAGGCATCTGTGAGCGCAACTGCAATACAACTCACACTTCACTCATCACTCAATCGTGAGATTCATTGAAAAGAGCGCTAAAACACGCATTCATTTGATGGCAAAGTCCACTATTTATGCAATAGTGGCACACAATTAGTGCCCATATCTACCATTCATTTCTATAATCTGTCTCTAAATTGAAATTTGCAAAACACACCATCACTTCCTAATTACATAGTTTAACACTAAGTTAAACACTGTTAGGGAATCCAACTGTACTACTGTACATGCACATTGTCATGATGTAAGCTTACAAACTTATTGGCATTTCATATCATATGACCTAGCTTCACATGAATCGTGGTCATCAATTTGCTATTAACCAGGCAAAGTGTAAAAGTGCAACCAATAAGTCATTTAAAGTAATTTGTAGTCATTGATTGTGTCATATGACAGATTGGGATCAATGAACAGGTACACTATTAATAAGCTTTGAAAATGATATTACGGTTAGATTTGAATGAAAGTTATGTAACAAATAGAAAAACTGAGTCTTATTTAGCACACGAGTAATCACTAGAAATGTTGGACACTATAAGTGACAAAACTGAGACCAAATGCAACATCATTTTCATGTCATATCATATGCCATACCATTGAAATCATTTGCTGATACTCTTGGTCCCAATTATTACTCTGATGCGAGCCATCCATTGTTAATAGGGTTAGCACCGGGTGTTGGACAGGGAGATGGTGACAGACAATGGAGGAGTTTGTCAGTCACCACACAATTACAGTAATGGTAAACAGTTTTACAGTTTGAAGGGTTGTGTCACTCAACACGCAAACTAACAGTGCTTTCGTTACAGTTTATGTCAAATACAGACAAAAGTGTCAAATATTTAATGTACACTGTTACAATTATCGTAGATATTGTAGTCTTATAACTTACAAGACCTAACGGTATATAAAATTAGATATTTAAATAATTTTGTCCAAAACGTTTATAAATGAATACAATGTTTATTTAAATCAATAAAAGCTTTAAATAAATCTCAACAAATATATGGATCTAAAATATAATATAAGT